TCGGCAGTGGCCAAATTTTGTGTCAGATCCAAAATGGAGTGGAAAGAGTGATTGCTTTCAGTGGCAGCAAATATAACAAACACCAGCGTAAGTGGACTATCTATGAATTAGAAGTTTACAGTTTTATTCAAGGTCTAAATAAATTTTACAAATATTTGGCTGGTCAGGAATTTACGTGGGTATGTGACTGCAAAAGCGCTCTGCAGATTTTGAACAATCAAGACAGCGTCAACCCCCGACTGATGCGCTGGCGATCGTTCGTCAGTCAGTTTCACTATAGCCCCGAACACCGCCGTGCAAACTTTATGGAGCACGTTGACATGCTGTCGCGCGCACCAGGTATGCCACCAGACACAGAGTGTCCGGATAAGAACATGCCACAGGGGCGATCCAGCCCAACCGCGACCGAGAAAAGTAAGGACAAGTCGATGACCAGCCAAATGGCCCCGAGCGGCACGGCAGTGGCTACCGAAGGAGACGGTAAAACGGTCCCCGTTCCGCCACAAACACGGTCAGAAAATGCCACTCCCTCGCTTTCAGGAACTCAGGATCAGCTCCGCGTCAGTCTGATTGAGCCAGATCACGTTCAACCAGCGTTTAGTCGCGAAGAAATGATTTGGTACCAAAAACACGATCGGGACTGTCGGGCCATTGTCCATCATTTGCGCTTTGGAAAGTGGCCAAGGCATTGCAGCCCAACGTTGAAGCGATATGATGTAACTAAATTCAGATTAAAGAATGGCATTTTGTATCGGTACGACGACAGCACACCGGAAACCGGTCGGATTGTCTGGCCATTTGCCAAGCGTTTTGAGCTTCTGTACCAAAATCACGACCCATCGCACCATGGTCATTGCGGCGTAGACAAGCTGTTTGAGAAAGTTTCACGACATGCCTGGTACGCTGCATTAAAAGACGATTGTCGCGCTTACGTCAGGAGCTGCAAACGCTGCAGCGAGCGCAAAGACACTAAGGGTGTGCAGCCACCGCCGTTGATACCGCAGGAAGCTTATCTTCCCAACGAAGCGATGGTCGTGGATATCGTACACATGCCCAAAAGCAGGACGACAGGCGTTTCTCTCGTCCTCACTTGCGTTGATAAATTCACCGGGTACTTATCGTTTTATCCACTTCAGTCAGGCTCAGCCGATCACATTGCAAACGCTCTCCAAAGTCATTTCCTTGTGTTTGGCCCTCCAGGGAGATTGGAAACTGACGCGGGTAAAAACCTTAAAAGCTCAAAAATATCTGAGCTCTGTCGGTACTTTGGTGTGAAACACGTATCAGGAGTAGGATATCACCATGAGGCGATTGGAAAGGTTGAAAGGAAGCATCTCGATATGAAACGGCGACTACGCGCTCTGTCAGACAGTCATGGCGTAGACTGGGAAGTGCATTTGCCGGGGATCGTATTCTCTCTGAACAACGAAGTGTCTACAGGGTGTTTCACTAAAAGTGTCAAAAAGTAAATGCCTATGAAAGATATATAGAATATGCAAATCACGTGTCTGCGCACGTGGCTTTGTTGCAAATTTTTGGACATTTATTATTTATCCATTTAAGATATATTTTACACTCATACGGAGCGAGGGCAGTAGGCCAAAGTTACTAGTCATTTTTTCCTTATGCAGAACAAGAACAGGTTATTTACACCGCAACAGGAGGGATGAATTACACTTATGTACATTTGGTGCCATCAGAAACATTGAAACCGTATGCCGACTTTTCAGGAAACTTTTTACTCTCTCACCTCGCTACGTTCCAGATTATAAAAGTTTCAAAGGGCTTGTTGAGAGGTTTAAAAGGGTTCCTTCGATGCCAGTTCCAGTCCAAAAAAGGCGGGGTTGCCCCCACCTCTCGGCGGAAACCGTTGAGAAGGTCAGGGTCTTTTTGAGGGCCTTTGAAGATAACAAGAAGCTAATTCCAACATCAGAAATAGCCAGGGCCTTACAAGTTATTAAAATCAACCACTGTAACGGCTGTAGCCACCAGGAACTGACTGGACCAGAAGCTCCTGGGCCGAATAATCAGCTGCCTTGCCGCCCGCCCCTGGCCAGCGCGAAGCCCCGATCTGTCACCGCTAAGCCTCTGGTTTGGTCAGTGACTCAGTAGCTCTCGCAGAGCTGAGGAAGACTCAAGTCGCATCACTTCGGGAGCTGAAGAGCACAATTCAAGGCTTTGCCGACAGTCTGGACGCTGAAGATGAAAACGGGCTGTGAGGCACCTCCGGACACGTGCCGAAACGGTGCATCAAAAGAAGGGGCAGATGTGTGGAATAGGTTTGAGTGACGGTGATATCGTTTTTATATATTCAAATGTCCAACAATTGCGGATGAAATGATATGCAAATTTCCTTAGAAAACATTGTTATTATGTGCATTATGACCTTTTACTTTTTGACACTTTTAGTGAAACACCCTGAAAGAGCATTGTATGTAGGACAACGGGGTACTCGCCATATTTTCTGTACTTTTGGCGCCATCCTACCGCTCCGCTATCTCGGCTGGTGGATGAATCCGTCCCTATGTATTCGGATAACTTTGTCCATCAAAAGCTGCGCACGCTATCCCAAGATCTGCGGCAGGCTCAGGAGCAGCGGCGTATTTCCGCCGCAGCTGACAAAGCCGCATATGATCGTCGTAATCGAGCAAAAGACTTGCTGTATAAGGCCGGGGATCGCATACGTGTGCGTAACTTCAAGCACCAGGCTGGGGTTGCTCTTAAGATGGAGCATCCGTGGTCGCGCACACACACTGTAGTGGGGATGGTTGGACGTCGTCACGTTGAATATATGGATGGAACAACTGGAAGGCTGCACCGTACGCACGTAAAATTTACAAAGCCAGTGTTCGATTTTAAGCTGTAGGATGTGAACGTGTCATATAACTTGTGTATGCCCATGTCGAACAAGATTGTGTATCCATGTGTAATGAGCATTCATGTCTACCTATGATCTGTTAGATAGGGGCCTGTAACTAGGTGTTGCGCGCCGCACACTCGAGGGGGGGTAATGTCGTGAAATTGAGAGATCGTTGGGAAATTCCACGACACGAGTAATGTCGTGAAATTGAGGGATCGTTAGAAAATTCCACGAGTTCGGCGCGAGGAATGTATTTTTCAAATGTGTGTTTTATGCGAGATAATGTGCTAAGAGAATAAAAAATGTACATGACGCCGATTACTTTAATTTCTTGGTGATGGTTTAACACCGACGCTCCCGAGATGGCGCCAGTTGTAGACGCCTGGAATGATGCTGTGCCGCACAACTTCTGGCCAAGCTCAGACAGCACTGTGGACTGCGGTGCGACGACTCGGCGGCTGTCCACTGTCCAGTAGCCCTGACCACTGCCCAGTAGCCGAGCGCCTCGCACCCACCGGCTGGAAGACGACGTCACAGGGGGAGGGGGACGGGGTGCCGGCGAATACAGAGGCGGCCGTCTCCCATCCGACTCTGAAGGCTGCGAGCATTGCTAATTCTCTGCTAGATACATTGGAAATGGTACCGTTGGAAAGAGCATTCAATTCTGTCCGAAATTCACTAATCATTTTTGCATGATGAACAACAGTGTTCTTAAAAATGTGGATATTCTAAACCACTACATAGCCATTTTTACCGATATTCATCGATGGCTTTCAATAACCTTGCCCGTTGCCGCCAGTTTTCGAATCCTTCTGAAGAAGAACGCATGCTAATTCGACAACAAAATGTTTGACCGTCAAAAAGTAATAGAACGAAATGGATACCTACATAACTCAATCGACACAGGACCAACCCAACATCCAAGGGCGGCAGGGCTCAAAATATCCCTTCCCGCTGAAACGTTAGTGCGAAGTAACTGGACGGGCATGGGCGAGCCTCCTGCCCGTCCAGTTACTTCGTACTAGCGTTTCAGCAAACCCATTGAAAACTGGCTCGCCTATCCCTTCCCCCGTTGCCGAGCAAGCGGGTCACCCTAGTGCAGGGTGCAAATGGCAAATGGTGCGCACGCCCCTTTTTGGGAGTAATGGTGCCCTCGGCGGGTGCTGATGAGAGCTTCTAAGAAAACCTCATATTTTTGTCATCACGTAGGGAATGAGAGTTTTGAACCTAACATAGTTATTAGTTACAACTACAGGTGACGCAGATGTATAATAACTGGTCGCATATATTGTCACTATTTATATGTGTGCCGTGTGGACAACAAGTTGTGCAGTACTAACACTTTTTTTCTCACTTTTAGCGCCTTGAAGCCCACCGAGTTATCCTGCCGTCTGAGTCATGCCTTGCCATACAACTGCACTGGCAACTACAGACACTAGACCTCATGGAATATTTTACTAAAAAGCTTAACTCGACAGTGCTGCCATCTACTTTCCTACTAGAATGGTGCTACACTCAGCATTTTAGTTCCAGACTCCAGATTTAGAGCAGACCACTGCGAAAAATTAGTGTCAGAAACAAATAAATTGAGTCATTTTTTTCGCCGTAGGTGCTGGTCATCACAAAATAGGTGTTACCAACCTATTTTAGGCTGAAACAGCCATTTAATGCCAGGAATGGCTTTTCTAGAACGCAATAAAGTGGCGTCCATTTTTATCTTGCTTTCCTCCAATTCTAATAAATCATAGACGGAGAACCTTACTACCTTACTAAATAAGATGAAAACGGAACAGAAACGAGTCGACCCTGTTCGGGCAGCCCCGCTTCCAAATCAGCTCAGAGTGCCGCGCCTGACATGGAGACGCGGCATGACTTGACTTGCGCTTCGAGGTCATGTCTCCAAGAGCCATGTCTCTTCGAGGTCATGTCATGTCATGTCATGCCATGTCATGTCATGCCTTTCACCGCACTGCGTCTGTGTTGAGTTGCGCTGCAGCGGCGGCGGTGACGCTGGTCGGCTGGTCTGATTGACAAAGAGCAGGGTGGCGGCCCGCATGCCCACGCGCCGGCCTACTAGCGCGCCGGGCCGCTCATCGATTTTCCGTGTGCGGTCGGTGGTCGGCGCCGGCAGTCCAGCGAGGCGGGCGGCAGTCATGTCAGTGGCACGCCGCCGGCTCGCTCAGTGACTGTGACTGCCACTGTGACTGGGTGGTGCCGACTGACTTAGCCGAGTTGCCGTCCTCCTGGTCATGTGAGCCGACTGCCAGCCGATGCTGATAGCTATAGAAGCCCTATATGTTTCGGCTCATTTCGCCCACTTACCTCATTTTGCGATTTTTTTGTGAATTTTATTTTGCTCCTGGTTTTGGCCCTTGCTTATATTTATTGCACAAACTTGCTCAAACATCATCTAGTGTTAAGCATTTCTAACACATATTTGTCGCTTCATGAATGCCGCCTAAGTGTTAAGTCTCGTAGATAACACTGCTTCTTTATTGTTATTTCAGCTGCATGCTGCTCACCCTGTGTCTGGCCGTTGTACACCCGCTGCTGTGTGAGTGTCGCCACTGATGTCTCGGCTATTTCTGCACAAGGGACTGCCGGTTTGGGGCTGGGACAGAGCGCGCTGGCGTGACTGAGGTGAGCTCATCTCTGGCGGCCTGCTGCCCGTCTGTAGAGCGGGGCGGCTCCGAGTGTCTGTCCACAGCCGGACATTTGACGTGGCTGTCGCTGCCAGCAGCACTGCGGTAACTCCTACCCAGTCCCAGACACACACCGCCAGTAGCCGACGAACCGCGCCCACTCCGTCACAGCAGTCGCCCATGGACCACTTGTAGACGATCACACAGCACTATTACCCAATGCTGCATACATTGCGTACCTACTCTCCTATTGAGGTGAGCCATTTGATGTAGGTACTTACATGCATTTTGCAATGATTCCGGTGCTGGCAAGAGCGTATCCGAGTCAACGAATTGTTCCAGGGAACGTGAATATGCGATCGACCAGAATGCGTAGGAAAATGCATTTAGGTGCCAAATAGCAGTGCCATGTAGCTTAAAGGGACCCTCCCACCATACAATTAATGAATTGGCATAAGAGTTATGTACCTACCGTGGTTCAGAAAGAGCAAAAATGAATATCTACCAAATTTCACCCAAAAATATCAACCCGTTTTTGAGATAATAGTCTTTTATTTTTGCTTATTTTTAGGGGACTGCTGTTTCTATGACGTCATTTGGAAGCTGGAAGCAATTATTTGGTATTTTGAAAGTGCGGCAGGTGATGCGTGCAAGTTAGGATATACCGCCACACCTTTACCAAGGTTTTAGTACCAGTAAAACGTCTTTTGGGGGCGACAAACAAGCAACCGAGAGGGCGAGCCTTGGACGTGCGGATTTGCGAGGGGGCACTTCCAAATGACTTATGCACGGCACCCTACTAACCGGTCTCTAGCGGTGTGTCAAATTTGAGCGCAATCGTCCTAGCCGTTCTCGAGATCTAGAAGCGGCACCCTGCACGTGCGCAGGTGCAAACTGAATTTTGCACGGCACCCTACTAACCGGTCCTTAACCATGTACCGAATTTGAGCGCAATCGGATCAGCCATTCTTGAGATCTAGAAATCACCCCTGCACATGCGCACGTGTAGCAGTACCCTAACCGTGAAACATGAACTGCATTGTCTGGTGGGTGCCTTCATACACGCCACGTTTCAGCGCAATCGGCCCCGTAATTACCGAGATATTACAATAGTTGGAAAACTGACACCTGTTCATTTTGCATGTGGCACGAACATATCGGGTCACCACATGCATCGGTAATAGTTCAATGCTTAAAGGGACCCTCCCACCTTCAAAAAAGTTAATGAATTGGCATGAAAGTGATGTCCCTTGGTTCAGAAAGAGCGAAAACGAATATCTACCAAATTTCACCGAAAAATATTCACTGGTTTTCAAGATATTAGGCTTTTACTTTTGTTTACTTTTTGGGATCTCCCCTGTTACTAGCGACTTTATTTGGAAGCAATAATTTGGCAGCCTTAAAGTGCGGCAGACGTTGCGCGCAAAGCAGCGTATACCACCACGTGTTAACGATGGTTTTAGTCTAAGATTTAAAAATCGTTAGATCTCCGCTGACGTCACAAATTCTAAGGGGGCATTCCAATGCATTAGCCCCTTAGAATCCGAAAACTGCAAGTTTGAAATTCCATATCTTCGAATTAACCCTCGCCGGACCTATTGGTTTTCTACATACGCGCCGGCCGAGGGGGGGGGGCGGGTACGACCCCCCCCCTCGCCAAGGTGGGAGTGTCCCTTTAAAGTAGAAGGAATGAAGCTACCCTATAAAAATTACTGCAAGTAAATCGGTCCAGTGGTTGCGGAGATATAAGCTCCACAAAACCGTGACCACGGCCGGCCGGCCGCTCATACTTAAAAAAAAAATCTGCTATTCTACGTAATCTATTCTGCTATTTTACTTCGCTTTCTCCGCTCGCTCCGTAGCAAGATTTACCTGTGTGACTAGGTAAAAACGTTAGGTATCTGTATGACTTGGATGTTAGGTAAAATCTGGTAAAATCGTTAGATCTGCGCTGACGTCACAAAGGCTAAGGGGGCATTCAAATGCATTAGCCCCTTAAAATCCGAAAACTGCAGACTTTGAATTTAAATATCTCCGAATTAAAGCATTTCGCGATGTTGTGAGTGCCCAAACCGGTAAGTGCGAGCAAGGGGCCCCAAGTTGGCTATCTCATTTCAAAAGTAATTTTAAGGTGGGATGGTCACTTTAACCTAAACCAGTGCTGTCAAACCCTATTTACAGCACTTAAAGGGGCCCAGCTCTCAGAAACGTCAATGTGAATGTCGTTCCACTTTGAATTTATGTCTTCTGCTGTTGTCGTTTATTTGATTTAACCCTCGCCCATGTAGGGGGGGGGGTTGGTGCAACCCCCCCTGAGGTTTTTCGAAAATAGTGCAAAAACGGCGGCGCGCAGCGCCGCCAAATTTTGGGTACCTTATGGGGCAAACCTTGCGCATCTTTTGATAAAAAAAAATTTGACCGGGTCATGTCAGGTCACGGAGTTATGACGTCACAAAGGGAACAGCCTCCGGCCGGATTTTCACAAACTGAGTGCCAACGCCCGAGGTTTCCTGCCGGTGGTACGGACATCGGTTGATGGATCGTGATGAAACTTCCCATGCATGTTGGGGAAAGTATTGGCTATCATATGGTATAAGAAACTTGACCGGGTCAGGTCAGGTCACGGAGCTATGACGTCACAAGAGGAACAGCGTCCGGTACTATTTTTGAAAAGCGCCCGAACCACTATTTTGCTAATTCTTGTCACCTCAATGGGAATATGCAGCAATATTAGCTTCTATAGGGAGCAAATGGATCTTCCAAATCCAAAAATACAATCAGATTTCAAAAATTTAAATTTTGATTTTTCGATTTTCTGCCGCCGACTGTGACCTTGCCGACTTCCGGCGCTCCCAACGCGCCATTTTTAGAGCTAGGGAAACGAAATACATACCAAACGATAGAGAATTGATCAAGGAACACGATAGTGAAGGTTTCAAGTCGATATCTCCCACCGTTTTGCCGCAATCGCCGCGGAAAGTTAAAAAAGTCTATTTTTCCGAAAATTTGACCTTTGACCGGTCAAAAGTAGGTCAAATGTTGACCTAGGACCAAAAAATATACCCCCAATCGCGAGATCTCGGCGAGAGCAATCCGTTGGTCTTTTCCGCTAAGCTCTACGACGCTCCGTTTTCAAACGCCAAGGGGGGGTCGCACCAACCCCCCCCCCCCCCCCTGCATGGGCGAAGGTGGCAGATCGCCGTTTACGGGCGAGGGTTAATCTATTTAATCGATCTAATCTAACCCGTGCATGACCGGGGGGAGGGGACTAGACAGACAGACAGACAGACAGACAGACGGACAGACAGACAGACAGACAGACAGACAGAACTTTATTCCGGACCATACTGGTCCATAAAATGCCCTCAAGCCATAGAAACACTCACACGAACACCCATGCTAAAAAAAACAGTTTATGTAGAGCCTGCATGCATCAAATCAGGTGGCATCCATGGCGTGTGTACAGCCTTCCCAACCATGTGTTCCTGATCCTTGGCTGCTACATACTACAATGAGTTCAAGCTTCTCAAAATTATAGCTACCATCATACTGTTGTTGCACTCATCAACCCTTTTCATGAATTCATAAATTAACCTGCCCCGACTCACAAGAGCAATGCAATATGTTTCTTAAAAAGAATTATAGGTCTTATTTCACTTAAAAAAAACTTCGTTTTCTTACCCATTTCGTGCTAGAAGTGCCGCTTTGCCCAGTGTGCGGCAGTGGCCCACGGGGCCTGTCCCGGGCCGGGGCCGGCTGCGTTCTAATGTGGCTCGTAGCGAGGGCCAGTGTCTGCTCATTGGTCAGAGTGGGTCGTGTCCGCGTCCCACTCTGATAGCGTATTGACCTGACCGGCTGGATCAGAGTGCCGGTGCTAACTGCTATCAGCAGCCGCCAGCTCGGCCCTGCTGGCCCGCCTGCCACACGGCCAGTACCTGTGTATATACAATGGTGACATTCTAACGCTCCGACTACACAGAAGTAGTTCTGCCATATGAATATGGCTGTAATGAAATTATTGACCATAATTTCGACTGTTCTTTTAAACTGCGCCGGGCCGATGGTATTTGCGCTCCCCTTGCAGTTTTGCAAGAATATTTATAACCAGTAAAACGCCTTTTGGGCGAAGAACGAGCGAGCGAGATATAGAGGATTCTTCATGGATCCCAGTGGAAGATAAGGATATCTTTTCCAAGCGGGTTACTGAAAAACCTCGCTCCTTCGTCGCTCGGTTTTTCTGGAACACGCGATGAAAAGATATCCGATCTTCCACGAGTGAGCCATGAGGAATCCTACATCTTTCTATACTCTGTTCCGTTTCAAGTTTGCAGCCGAAGTGCCCTGCTGAAAGCAGTGCGTGATTTCTGTATATACAGCTCTTACATTTTAAGCGCAAATCCTTGAGAGGAGGAGCGATCTGCCGAAGAAACTCCAACTGCAAGCTTGATATGGAACAGACTATAGTTGAGGTTTATTCTTATTAATTAAACATTATATTTAAATGTTTTCATCTATGGAAAAATAAATTCAGAGTACTTTGTTTTAGTATTTCATAAGTTTCATACTCAAACAGACATTAAAAATGGTTCGATTATTGAACCATCATCACTTGAACTCTGGATTTTTAGCTATGAACCCTCGAGACCTTATCTTTGCATCTCAGTGGAGTGCAAGCTAGAAATATCCCTGCACTGTAGAACCAGCCCCCACCAAATCTTATCTGGCAAAGGAGTTCAAGCCCTGGTGACGTAAGCCATAGCAACCAAGAGTCCCTAGCAACCGGAAGTGGAGGGGACACCTCTCGCAAACGATCGACGGACGACGTTTCGTCAGCAAGTCCGTCAGCAACCAATCTCAAAATTTCCGGCTCCATTGAAGACTTCTGAGGCTTCTGAGTCTTTTTTTTCTTCGGACTCTTTTTGCTTTTGGGCTCGATTTATCGGTTTTTGTTTCTGGCATTTTTTTGTTTGATTTTTTTTTTTGTTTAGATAAGCTAAA